GGACTGTTGTTATCTCCCACTCAATCAGACACAAATTACAATCGAATAACCTTCAAAAACCTTGTCAGTCTTGCAGGTCCCAAGTGTCCTTGGGGTTGCTGGAAAGCAGAACGTGTTCTTAAGCCCCAGGAATCTGTCTCTTTAAATATCCAAAATAGTCAAGCCTCTTTTTAAACCTTCAAAATGGTGGCGCCCTCCGGACCAGCAAAAGTCCACGGCTCAGCCCACCTTTCTCTTCACCTTCTCCGTTTGTTCCCCAGCCACCATGCACAGTCCTCTGTAAAGTTCCTGGCTAGCAGGATGATTTTTAGGTTAATTCTTAAGTCCTACCACCACTCGGGAATCTGCAAGCTGTCTGTGCCGTCAGGATCACTCACCACAGCTTCCAGACCACAGCTCCATATGTCTCCTTTTCTGGTATTTTCACACAAATTCTTCTGCTAGTTGGGGTTTAGTCCACTTCTATATCCTTCCCTTCAATGCTCAGGGGCCCAGGATTATCTTCTGTGTCTGTATTAATTGGTTTCCTTTTTCTTTGTTGAAGAGGGTCTGTGCAGTCTTTCTGCCTAGTCTGCCATCTTGCCGGAACTCGAATACACAAAAATATTGTTCTACATTCTACTTTGGTGAGTAGCAACTAAGGTCTTAAAAGGTTACAAGCAGCCATCTAGATGCAACAATTGGTCTCTCCTCATCCGAAGCAAAGAAAGAAGAAAACCAAGGATGAATGGAAACAATTAGTCCAAGGGAATAGTGGACCATGCAAATCTCTGCCTACATGACCCTGAGACCAGAAGAACTAGATGGTGGCTGGCTATTGCTGTCAACCACTAAGAAAGTGATCAGTGCAGGATATCTTGGATTGAGTGGGACAAAAATTAGAGCAAAACTCAAAATCATAAAAAGGACCATGCTTACTAGTCTGACGGAGACTGGTGAAATCCCAGAGACTATGGCCCTGAGTCACCCCTCAGGCCTGGAATTGAACTCACTCCTGTAGCTTCCAGCCAAACAGTAGGTGTATAAGGTGAACATTTACACCAGGTAGGTACACTCCTTAAAACAATCAATTATCGAAAATCAAAAGGGCAGTATTTGCACAGGGAAATAGCTCAGAGAACAGGAATGCACAGGAAAGAAGTATACAGGGAAAAGGTAACCACAGGGAGGAAGTGGGAAGAGATCTGTTACATCATGGGGATTGTAATTTTATGAACCAAAATATGTATGAAATCTGCATGGAAAACGAATTTGCTCTGCAAACTTTCACCCAAACCAAAAAAAAAAAGAGGTCATGAGAACAGGGACATTCAACTTCTAGAGTTAACTGAATCATTGCAGACCTCCATAGGCCTTTTCACTTCTAGGCTACTGATCCCAGAAAGAGACAGAAAGAGAGAATATCCGGAAAGGTTCAAGTTATTTTTCCACTGATCTTGCATAGGAGAGGCTCACATTCAGAGACTGAGTTCATTTACAGTAAATAAAAAGAATAATAGGAGCTCTGATAGCATAGTGCCTAAGGCGCTTGACTGCTAACCAGGAGGCTGGCGGTTCAAACCCACCAGCCACTCCTCAGAAGGAAGATGGGGCAATCTACTTCCGTAGTGATACTGCCTTGGAAACCCAAGGAGGGGTCACTATGAGTCGGGTCCGACTCGACAGCACATAACAACAACAACAACAAAAAGAATAATACTGCTTCATAAACTGGTCTGTAGTCTAAAATTTATGTTGTTGTTGTTGTTATTTGTCATCGAGTCGCCCCGACTCCTAGCGACCCCTCCTTGGGTTTCTGAGGCAGTTATCACTACGGAAGTAGGATTGCCCAACCTTCCTTCCGAGGAGTGGCTGGTGGGTTTGAACCGCCAACCTCCTGGTTAGCAGTCAAGTGCAAAATGTATACTAACTACAATTATTTTGTAAATACTCCTTTTGCATACATCTTGTACATATACTTATATCTTTTTATTATTTTGTACATATTTCCATACATACCTTGTAACACAATGTCATACACCTTATGTTTTAGCCCACTGAAAAACAACACACTAACTTTTCTATTTAAACTTTCTTAAAAATAAGATTCATAAAATTGAAAGAGGCATAAGGTATTACGTAGCACAAATCCATTCTTTGATAAATAAAATGCAAAAATAAGGGAAAGATCAATTAATTTCCAAGGTTCACTCACAGAAATCTCTAGAATTTAATAAATCATACCATAGAAAATCCTACATCTCTGCATTTGTAATGAGAAATGAAGAGTTGATCTTTTTTTGTTGTTGCTGTTAACTAGTGACTCTATTTTTAGAAAGAGGAGGCAGAATCACTGTACAATTACTAAACTATAAAACCAAAAACAACAAGTACATTCTGGAATGGAATCCTGGCTAATCCGGTAGGCGGCAGAGACCTGACCCTGGCTAGGGTTGGGACATGCACAAGTATTTTGTTTGGTCTCCTCTTGAATGGAGACACTTTGGAAAATTCTCCAATGACAGAAGCTTAAGGGAAAGGGAGCGTGGTCTTAAGGGGGCGGAGAATAGAAGCAAGGCTAATAGACGGTGCATGCTGATTGGCTGGGCTTCTTACCCAGCTCTTTCTACTTACCAACTCTTTGGACTGCGGGGCCCCATCCATCAAAAGGATATCGCCAATCAGCAGCAAAGCTAGGGCCTCCCGCGCGAATGCCCCGCCCTTCAACATAATATTCGGGAGGTCAGGCGCAGCCGCTCCTTCTCAGAGCTGGCCGGAACTGAAGGTGGTTTAGTCTCGGCGGAGCTGCGGAGACCTCCGCCAGAACGGCTCTCCCTCCCCGGGCCTCTCCCCTCCTGCCCGCGAATCCTCCAAGGCCTCATAGGCCTCTCGGATCTGATATCGTAGGGTGAGGTGCGAGCAGGCCCGGGGAGGGTAGTTATCGCTGAGAAGCTGCAGAACGATCAAGGTGAGGCGGGAATGCGGGGTTGGCCTCGGGGTGCAGGTAGGGAGCAGAGTTGGGGCGCGGGTTGAAGGGGAGCGCCTGGCCCGCTCCCTTTTTCTCCATTCGCTAGCTGATGAGAGCACAAGCCCAGGCTTGTCCGAGCCTGGAGGGGTGGGGCCGGATCCGTCCTAGCTGAGGTAGTGTCTGTGCCCGCCCAGTCCCTAGGACCAGCCTTGGGGGCGGAAGACTTAAGCCTATGAAGTTACTAGTTCTTCACCTGTTCCCCCTTCCATCTCCCAACCCTAAAGATCTCCACGCCTTCTTATCTTTCGGTTGGTGAGGGGTGGGACGTCCACGTAGCCAGCGCTCAGCTTGTACCCAGCACACAGTAGATGTGGAATGCACCGTCTAAATGAATGAAATTCCTGGGTTCATCTTGCAGATTAGGTTAGCCACCCTACTACGTGTTTCCATAGAACCTTTTAAGCTTCCTTTCCTATGTGAACCAATGAAAGTTCACAATTACTGAGCGTTCACTGTGTCCCTGTTGTTGTTGTTGTTGTTGTTTGCCGTCGAATCAAACCCGACTCATAGCGACCCCTCCTTGGGTTTCGGAGGCAGTATCACTACGGAAGTAGGATTGCCCAACCTTCCTTCCGAGGAGTGGCTGGTGGGTTTGAACCGCCAGCCGTCTGGTTAGCAGGCAAGTGTCTTAGCCACTATGCTACCAGAGCTCCCTCACTGTGTCCCTAGCACTGTGCTAAGTAAACTGTATAAATCTTGTCTAAATGGTAGATAATTGTTAATGCTCATTTCACCAATGTAAAATTAAGCTTATTTTTATCCTTCAGTGTTTGGTAAGCTCAGTTTGTGCTGGATTTTTACCTGTGTGCTTTCTGTGTAATGCACAGAAATCTATGAGGAACTAAAGCTCAGGAAATTAATGTTAAAAGTTCAGATTTATATGGCTGAACACATACTACGTTACCATCTGATTTCAAAGTTCTTGGTATCCTGTCTTACAGCAGCCTATTAATAACTGTTGACAATGAATGACCTGAGCAAGTATTTCTTGAAGATTTACAATTAAAAATAATAAAAGCATGATTCTTGCCTTCTAGGGATTTGCAGTTCACAGTGACAAGACTGGTGCAAAGGGAAAAAATAGATGTCACTAGGTTCATTAGCCGCATGGGGGTGGGGAGACAAGTTATTCAGTACTTGGCACAATACATAGATGACCAAGGAAAGCAGGAAGGGCTATTCTTACACTCCTTTCTGGGTTTTGTTCTATATATAGATGATAGAGGTACTGACAAATGACACTCAGAAACTGCTACACCAGCTGAATGCCCTATTGGAACAGGAGTCTCGATGTCAACCAAAGGTCTTCGGCTTGAGACTAATTGAGTCTGCTCATGATAATGGTCTCAGAATGACGGCAAGGCTAAGGGACTTTGAAGTAAAAGATCTTCTTAGTCTAACTCAGTTCTTTGGCTTTGACACGGAAACATTTTCTCTAGCTGTGAATTTATTGGACAGGTTTCTGTCCAAAATGAAGGTATGTTTAAAGCTACATTACCCTGAATATTTAATTTTGCTCAACATGTGTTTACTTTGTGTTAGGCTATTATTCACAAACCTGACCTTCCTTTTCAGCAGATAGCTGAAGCACTGTGATAATTCTGTGTGCTACAGCATTGATGAATATTCTTCCTTATCATAAATCAAGGATAAAGCATCATGTCTTAGACAAATTTTGCAATCAAGAATAGTCTAATATAAAATAATTAGAGTTTTCCCAGTAGGAACATTTGCTGTTGTTTTAAAAACATCTGTTGATAGGTTAGGTTTTGAAATTCAAAGGAATTTGTTGTCGACAGATTCCAAGATTATGGTTAAGGATGTTGGGTGTATTTCTTAATCCCTATCTATATATAAAGTTCTAAGTGCTTTAGTTGTAAACCTAGTCAAGTCCTGATTATACTGAACATTTCCAACATCAGTTTGGATGCAGTAGACAAGAAAGGAACTTCTGAAGGAGGAGCACTTCTGTGATAATTTCCTTTCACTGGATAAGCAGTATATATCTGTCTCACTCCCAGAGTTTACCTGTTAAAAATGCATCTGCCTTCTCTGCACCCATGGACATTGGTGGATAATGAGATAGTGTGACAGTTAGAATGAAATGCATCCTCTAGTCCTCGTTACCTAACACAGTGCATCATAGAAGTAAATATTTGTTGAACGGTTCTTTATTACCATTTTGTTCAATAGACTGTCTTCCTATATGGGAATACGGAACCCTGGTGGTGGTTAAGTGCTTGTCAGTGGTTCAAACCCACCAGCCACTCCACAGAAGGAATGGTGGCAATCTAGTTTCATAAAGATTACAGGCTTTGCTCTGTCCTGTAGGGTCACAGAGTCTGAATCGATTCAACGGCAACACACTTTACCAGTTAAATGGGAATAAGATTGTTAACACTGATAATTATGCTAACAGTACACAGTACAATAAGAAATATAACTCTCAAAAAACCAAACTCACTGCCGTTGAGTCAGTTCTTATAGTGACTCCTCCTTGGGTTTCCAAGGCAGTATCTCTACGGAAGTAGATTGCCCAGTCTTCCTTTCAAGGAATGGCAGGTGCATTTGAACCTACAGCCTTCTGGTTAGCAGTCAAATGCCTTAGGTACTACACCACCAGAACTCCTGAAAAGAGGTATAAATGTATTGCCAAAAGGGTTCCAAGAAGAGAAAAAAACAGACATTGGTAAAGGATTCTTAAAGTTTCATATGAGCTACAATGTAACGATTGGATAGAATTTTGACTGTGTCTCATGCATTGTGGTAAATGAGGTAGATAGTGGATTGGTCTTTACGGGTATAGTAATAAACAGTGTGTGTTGTACTTAACTATTTTACTATTTCAAAGAAAAAAGCCTGGAAAAGATATAACATCTTGGAAATTTTATTAGTACACCATTTATGTAACATGTTTCAGTTCTTCCTGTAAGCCCTTTGACCAGTTAACTTACGTGGTCAGATTACTGCAGTGTTTACAGTTCTACAGTGATAAGAAACAGTAAGAATTGTTTTATACAGAGGCCAAACACATTGAAACTCAGTCCAGTTACTTAAAATTCTGCTCCAAATGGGGTGCATAGGGTTGACAGGCTATAGTTGAGGTGTAGATCTTAAGTCCATCACAGTTGAGAAATATACCTCAAAGATACATTTTTCTAATGATTGACTGGGTTCTAAATTATCCTTTATTTTTATTATTTTATTTTAATGAAAGACATGGGATGGTGATGATGGTGATAATTATTGTTATTTTTAGGTACAGCCCAAGCACCTTGGGTGTGTTGGACTAAGCTGCTTTTATTTGGCTGTAAAATCAATAGAAGAAGAGAGGAATGTCCCGTTGGCAAATGACTTGATCCGAATAAGCCAGTATAGGTTCACAGTTTCAGACTTGATGAGAATGGAAAAGATTGTATTGGAGAAGGTGTGTTGGAAAGTCAAAGCTACTACTGCCTTTCAGTTTCTGCAACTCTATTATTCACTCATTCAAGAGAACTTGCCATTTGAAAGGTATGTGCTCTTTATTTTGAGCAAAGGTGGTTTAGGTATCAGAATGGTATTTCTGGATATTGCATAAATCAATCTACTGACAGAATTCCAATAAAAGTAAGTGAAATTATATCTGTGACTCACAACGTTAAATCACTGTTATATAGCCTTTCTAGCCATGGTCTTGTAACTCCCACAAAATGGTTGGGTGGGGATACGCAAATAAGATGCTTGTAGCCCAAAAAGGGTACTGGACAGAATGGCAATAAAGCAAATAAGGTACTGTGTGTGGGTGGACCATGCAAGTAAAGTATATGGAACCCTATCAGAGGGACTGGTTAGTTTTGCCATCCTCTAGGCTTAAAAGTTAATCCCAGTGCAGAGGGGCAACTCTCTACCACCAAGAGGAAGAGATGGGAGCAGAGTGCGTCCTTTGGACCCAGGGCCCCTATTGTTGTTATGTGCCGTGGAGTTGGACCCAACTCATAGCGATCCCTCCTTGGGTTTCCGAGGCAGTATCACTACGGAAGTAGATTGCCCCATCTTCTAAACCCAGGAGACAGAGAGTTCTAACACTGGAAATGATGGAAAATAATGAAAAGTAGTGGCAGAGAAATGGTGGCAGAGCCAGGACACCAGTATGGGATGGCACAGTGGGCTTTCTGGCCCGTAGAGCAAGGCATTCACAGTGGGTGTGCCTACCCACACAGCAAGAAAGCTGAGCATCTTCAGGCTGAGGCTTACTGGCAGAGTGGGGTGCCCCCCAGCACTTATTGACAGAGCTAAAGAGTTTTGTAACATTCCCGGAGCAGGGCAGAGGCCAGGCTGAGAAGCTGAGGACCAGAGAAAGGCCTGCTGTGGGCAAAGCTAAGAGGCTATACTGATTAAAAAACTGTATACTGAGCCATCTCTGATACTTAATGGTAACTTGTTACTTCCCTAATAAACCTCATAATCCTTGCCTGGGAGTTGTGTGTGGCTACTGCAACAAATTATCAAACTCAGCACAGAAGTGTAGAGAGTGCTGTTTGAGGGATGACTGGTATCAGAACTGGTAAAAGGCTGGAGAGAGGAGGAGGTATGTTTGACATCCACTTCACAGGAGTCAGCCTTGGGCTGCTGCTCTCTCCTTTTTGGAGGTTAGATGACGAGGTCAGATGTGATGTCATTTGCACAGGCTCCTTGAACTTTATTGTCCAGCAAAAGTGGTTAAGATTTTCTAATTGTCAATGTTCTTAAAGGACATTCCAACTTTTTCTTCATTAAATTTTCCATTTCTAAGCTAGGTAACTTACAGAACCTATTAGGTCAGCATCTAACACAAATTTATGGAGAGAGGAACTTCAGTAGATAGAGAAAAAGATTTATATAAAAAATAATAATATTCTGTGGCATAACATGACCCCCCCCAAAAAAAAACATTTAAAACTCATGTATGTTGCCCTTAGAAGTTAATGTCTCTGAGGGAATGAAAATTCCTTCACTTCATTTTTTTTTCCTTTGATACGTGTACATAATTTTCACTTTAAAAAATGACTTCAGTGTTTTTCATGGATTTGTCTTTTGACTAGATATAAAATTACCTGCATTAAATTAACCTATTTCCTTTTTAAAGGAGAAACAGCCTTAATTTTGAAAGACTAGAAGCTCAACTTAAGGCATGCCACTGCAGGATCATATTTTCTAAAGCAAAGGTAAATATTTTACAAAGATTAAATCTAGTTACATATGCCTCTTTCTATATTTGACATTTACTTAGAAACTGATCTCTTTTAGCCTTCTGTATTGGCATTATCTATCATTGCATTGGAGATCCAAGCACAGAAGTGTGTACAATTAACAGAAGAAGTAGAATGTCTTCAGAAACATTCCAAGGTATGTCAAGATCATAGCCTAAATGCTATTAATACCTATAAAATGAGAAGTCATGTGTTTATTTGAAACTCAGTAGCTTATTCTCAGATATTTTTGACAAGGAAAGACATGTTAATAGGATTGCATTTATTATTATACTTTAATACCATTGGACTTTCATTTTAAATACTAATTTTTTAAAACATCTATATATAGATAAATGGCAGAGATTTGACCTTCTGGCAAGAGCTTGTATCCAAGTGCTTAACTGAATATTCATCAAACAAGTGCTCCAAACCAAATGTCCAAAAGTTGAAATGGATTGTTTCTGGGCGAACAGCAAGGCAATTGAAGCATAGTTACTACAGGATAACCCACCTTCCAACAATTCCTGAAACGGTTCCTTAATCGGTAAAATTAGTTCATGGTTATTCTCCATATAAAGAATATTTTGTAATGCTATAGTTTTCTTCTACAACTGGAGAAGTAAAGTGAATTATTATTTTTAAAGTAAAGTGGAGTTGGGATAGCAAAGAGGAAAGTGACTTCACTGATCTAGTCAAGCTAGTATTTGAAGGCAATTATTACATAAAAGGTACAACACCCTAATAAGGAGTTACCTATCCTCTGCTAAGTATATTAATCACTTCATTAAATTATCAGCTTCTTGTTGTTGTTATGGGCCATCAAGTCAGACCCGACTCATAGCGACCCCTCCTTGGGTTTCCAAGGCAGTATCACTACGGAAGTAGATTGCCCATCCTTCCTTCCAAGGAGTAGCTGGTGGGTTTGAATCGCCAGCCTTCTGGTTAGCAGTCACATGACTTAGGCACTTCACCACTAGCATACACCTTAATAAACTGAATGTTAAAAGTAGCATTAGAACAGTATTTTCTTTAATTACACATTATTTTGTCTTAAAGAGACCCAAGGTCTGGCTCAGAGCATATGTCATTTAAAGTAACAAGAGCCTGAGTTGGGCAACAAAACCAAAAGTTTGAACTATACTAATTTGAGATTATTAGCTAAATCCATAAAAACTCAGAATACTGTTCTTAAAAAGTAATATAATGGCAGATGGTCTTATTAGCTATTTGGAAAATGCTAGGGTATATCAACACTGAATTTGCGTATCATTGTTACAGCAGTTGGCTACTGGAAAGTAGTTAAAAGCATAAAAAATGCAAACCTAGCCACTGCATTTTTGCTATCCATTCCTACCATCAATTAACTCATAGTGGTGATATTTTTCTCCTCAGAACTAAATGTTAACATTTAAGCCATCTACATATAACATGGGAGCTCTGGTAGCATAGTGCCTAAGGCACTTGACTGCTAACCAGAAGGCTGGCGGTTCAAACCCACCAGCCACTCCTCGGAAGGAAGATGAGGCAATCTATTTCCATAGTGATACTGCCTTGGAAACCCAAAGAGGGGTCGCTATGAATCGGGTCCAACTCGACGGCACATACCACCACCACCTATGACATGATTTTGAATCTTAGACGGGAAAAGTTCATTTTAACAATAAGTATATGTTTTCCACTTTGGTAACTTGGATGTTTATTTGTTTAAATAGGATTCTTACAGCAACAAAAACTCTTCTCCTGAAGCCTTTCTCTACAACTCTGAGCTATGGAGTGCATACTGTTATAATGGATTCAACCTGGGAAACCTCAAAACATCACATCGAAATTAGTATTGGTGTTCTCAGACTCGGGAAAATTGCCTATTTAACATGATGCTATGATGGAATTGTACTTAGATTTGAGTTCATTTGTGAAGCATACAAATCAAAGCTAAGAACATAAATGTGAAACTTTAATAAGCCAGGGAAGGTAAACTGTGAATCTTCATTTCTAACATTGATCTAAATTTCTATATTGGATTAGTGTATTTGGGTGGTATTGAAGTGGTAACCTACTAAATTTAAACTAAACCATCTTAAATTGTGAGGCTTACATCAAAATCAATATTTTACACATGCACTTTTAAGACATACTATTCTAGGCAGTACAAATGGTTTCTTGGCACCCATAATACAAACAATACATAATCCAGTTAATGTGGACTTCATTGCTATCTGGCAATTACATTTACATTTGAAGGCATTTCATATAAAGCAAAAATACATTAAGCTGGTAAGTGTGACATATTAAGTTATCTTTGATATTATTTTTAGAAATCAGGAGATACTTGTATCCATGATTGTAACAATTTTATACAGAATCTACTGCCTCAATCTGATCCAACTGAGAAAATTAGTTTCTTTTGTATCAGTAACTCGAAATAAATTATCACTGAAAACTTGCTTTAGCCCATTACAGCAGGTTGAGGTTAGATTCAACACTCCAGAAGTTTTTACTAAGGATTGTTTTATAAAACTTGCCATAGCCTCTAATTTAGAATTTTGTTTAAAAGGAAAAGAGTATACTTTTATTAAATGCCTGTACTGTGCCAACATAAAGTCTTAAGAAAAGTAAGTTAGGACCTTAATAATTATAATAAGGTAGGAAGCTAAGGTAGTTTTCCATGTAGGTCAGTGAATATAAGATCTATATTAAAACATAAACTCTTTCTCAGTGCATTGTGTGGCCTGAGACCATCCAGAATGGTTACAGCTGATTCAAATTGACTTCGACATCATGTTATGGATAAATATGCACTGAAAAATAAGCCAAAGAACCACAATATACCTTATATTTAACTTTTGTAAACTGTTTTGTGGATAACCTTTCAGTTTTCCCAAATAACTGATACATTTCAATATTTTGAATACATCAGTGTTAATTATGAGTTGGCAGAAGTAATCTAACTACCATTATGTTTTGGTATTAAGGGATATACCTCTTAATAAAGTTACTGAAATGCATTGCTTTGTTGGGTGGTTTTGTTTTTCTTATTTAATTATATTGGTAAGTTGATAAAGAACTATAATAAAAAGCTATCTCTGTTTAGTAGTATTTACACTTAGCTCTAAAGTAAGATCCATGGTGGCAGAAACAATAAAATCTGTGTAGTATGGCTGTTACCTAATTACCATCTTTCTGATGGTTATTTAAAATAGAGAATTAGTTTCTCATATTAGTAACTTGAGTGGATTCATACTTAGGATAACTCTGTATGTTGCAGAGTGAACCGGGTCATAAAACCTGAATAAATTCAAAACAATTTTTATCAAAGTGCAAAAAATTTAATGGAGAAAGGATAAATTTTTAATAAATGGTTTTGCAGTAATTCATTACCCATATGAAAAAAAAAAAAACATCTACCTAAACTTAAAAAGTAACTTAAAATGGATCTAAATGTAAAACACAATCTTTTAGAAGAAAACAGGCAAAAATTTTCACAATCTAGGATTAGGCAAAGGGTTCTTAGCATGGCATCAAAAAGCATGATCACAAATACACATGATAAACTGTCCCTTATCAAAATTAAAAAAAATAAATAAATACTTTTGCTTTGCAAATAACAAGCTACAGGCTGGGAGGGAAAAAAAATTGCAAATCACATATCCAACAAAGAATTTGTATCCAAAATATACAATGAACTCGAAACTCAACCATAAGAGAAATGAGGATTTTAAAATGGCAGAAAGATGTGCAACCTTCATGGGGAAGAAAAAAAAAAACTAGATGGCAATAAGCATATGAAATGATGTGATTAATCATTAGAGAAATCGAAATTAAAAGCATAATGAACTACCTTTCCATATGCTTTTATTGTGAGTTGTTATCTAGGCAATTTTGATTTATGGCTACCCATATGTGCTCCATAGAGTTTTTAAGGCCATGACCTTTTGGAAGCAGATCACCAGGCTTATCTTCTGAGGCACCTCTGAGTACATTCAAACTGCAGACCTTTCAGCTAGTAGTTGAGTGCTTAAACCTTTGTACCATCCAGGGATTCTTACTACATACTATTAGAATAAATATTGATAACAACAGCTGACAAAGATGTAGAGCAACTAGAACTCTCACCTATTGCTGAAAAGAACATAAAAAAAGGCACCCTGGAAAACAATTTGGCAGTTTCTTATAAAGCTAAACATACACTTACTATATGACTCAATCCCCTTTAAGTATTTAGAGAAATAAAAATGTTCTCACAAAACCCTTTATGTAAATGTTTACAGCAGTTGTATTCATAACTGCCAAAGCAGACATTCTTCAACAGATGAATGAGTGGATAAACAAACTGGTAGTTCCATAAAATTAAATACTATTGAGCAATAAGAATAAATACACTTGAATCATGCAACAAATTTCAGCCTTATGCTAAAAAGCTGGTCTTAAAAGATTACATATGATTCCATTTATGTAACATTCTTGAAAAGACAAAACTACACAGAAATGAAGAATAGTTCAGTGATTTCCAGGAGTCAGGAGGAAGTAGGGGTTAGTGAGTAGGGCAAAGACATAGCTTGCGAGAATTTTAGTAGTGATGCAACTGTTTAATGTCCTAATATGGGTGATGGTTACACAGATCTAAATATATTTTGAAATTCATAGAAAACTAAAACTAAGATCTTTAAAAATGTCAAAGACAAATGTTTACGGGAAAGAAAAACCTCTTTCCCAACAATTCAGTCCTAAAGCTACTAGGTATAGTTAAGTGAGGTGGGCATCTTGCCAAAGGGTGTGGCTGAGCTGCAGTTGCCCAGACTAGGATATCAGGGCCCAAGAAGGTCCAGGAGGACATTCTGCTTGGCACTGGTGTTGGAACCTGAGCAGGGTAAGTATTCATGTGAAAGATGGCCTGGAATAAGTAGTCAAATACATTAAGGATAATAGAAACAGGTTTCCCACTATTGTTAAAGGGAGTTAAAAAAATGGAAAGGGATAAAACTAAAATGAACCTCATGGGATTGAAACTGAAAGTATTAGTGATAACTTGTAGTTTTCAATGTTCATAGATACAGAAATAAAGATGTAAATACATCTAGCATGTAGATCTTGGGTTCTCAACAGTTCACCACTACAGAGAACCAAGGCTCCTCAGAAAAAATGACTGATACTTGAGCTGGGGAAAGGAGGGCGTAATGAACCTCGTGTATCTTATATCAGAAAGTAAGAAACTGTTCCAAGAATGATGAAGACACGTCAAAAGGGCACAGATGCCACCTAGAATGGTCTTCCACTGGTCAAAATCTAGAATAATTTTGGATATCAAAGTAATGAGAATAATAGCTTTTAACCTACTGAATAAAATAAGTAAGTATGAGACTATATTGACATGAATAAATTGAAAGTTCGATTAAACAAAAAAAATTAGTACTTTGAAAGAGGGTTTTGAACTGGTTCTTCCTAGTTTAGTCATGGCTGACAAAACAAAACTGGAAAGGACTTGAATTTGAAAACATGGATGTACCAGAATGATAACTAGAATGGGAAAAATTACAGGTCTATGCCTTGCTAGAAACCTAGTCTCCCTCTTAGAAAACAAGGGCAGCATGTGCATTATATAGCTACCAAGTTTCGACTGAATCGGAAATAACTGCTTATTCAAACCTGGCAGCAGATTATGCCACTTAGATTGTGTGTAGCTCTCCACAGTCCTAGCAATAATTCAATCTCCCAGACCAGGTTGATGAAAGAGCTGACTCCACCTCTTCCGAGTCTCCCATTCCAGCGCTTTGACCCATAATCTTTCCCATTCTAACACATACATATTTTACAAATTGGAGTCTGCTCTGGTTTCATTGTGTTGGCTGTGAATGAACTGGTTCAAAGTGACTTGAAGCCCTGCTTTGAAACTACCTTCCCACGAACTACATAATTATACAGAGAAAAGGAATAAGTACACTTGAGAGCCAGGCAGATGCCATCTCAGTAAACACCATCAGAAATGGTACAAATTAAATTTAATAACTCATGATAGGATACAGTAAGAACATCACATCACGTCTGTAATATTTCTACCAAAAGACAAAACCTGAACCTTATGAAGAATTATCAGACAAACTAAAAAATGAGGACTATACTGTAAAACTAGCCTGTAATCTGCAAAAGTGCCAAGTCAGGGGAAAAAATGAGGATTTTTTTAAGTAGACTAAAGATACCTGACATTTAAATGCAAGACATGATTCTGACTGGGTCCTTTTGCTATAAAAGGCATTATTAGGACAACTGGTTAAACATGAATAGGGTAAGGGGTCTGTGGATCAGATGGTAATATGTTAATGTTAATTTCCTGATAATAATGCTTGCATTGTAGGTATGTAAGAGAAATGTCCTCCTTTGACAGACATATGTAATCATTATGAAATCATATAATCAAAGGTGAAGTGGTATCATGTTATCAAGCAGTCAGATAGTTCAGGGGAAAAAAAGGCAACTGTGTACTTCCAACTATTCTATAAATTTCAAAATGTTTTTTAAAAAAATTTTAAAAGAACATTAAAAAGATGAATTAACATTTTAATACCTATTTCCAATCTAGGCTGAGGATGTTACTGACTTATAATCAATGACCACAATTTGCTGTTGCCTCTAACAAACGACTTGACCAATAACCCTATTTATATAGCTGCTTTTCTTTTGCAGTAATTCCCTATTTTTAGGTTTTTAATTTTCTTCTTTTCAATTTTCTGATGTAAAATAATCTCTCAAGGAATAATATACTAAGACATTTTCTTTAACTGTTAAAATTAACTTATTCAAATTTGACTGCTAACCAGAAGGCTGGCGGTTGAAACCCACCAGCCACTCCTCGGAAGGAAGATGGGGCAATCTACTTCCGTAGTGATACTACCTGGGAAACCCAAGGTGGGGTCACTCTGAGTTGGATCCAACTCGATAGCACACAACAACAACAACAAAATGTATTTGTGGATTGTTTGGTTTCTTTTTTTTTTTTTTTTCAGCAAAATAATGTCCTTCATGAACTGACATAGTTAGTCAAAGGAGCACA